GAGGGGAAGGAGGAAGAGAAAGGGGAAGGAGAAAGAAAAAGAAAAAAAGAAAAAAAAATTTAAGTTTTATTTTTCATAATATTTTTTTATATTATTTTTTTTCCATATCATCACTTTTTTTTCCACATCATCACTTTTTATATTACTATATGACATGTCATTTGGTAACCGTTAAGTAACAGGCCACGTCACACAATTTTTAACGAAAGGACCAAATCGGGGTAAAAATGGTAAACAGTAGGGACCAAATCAGGGATTTTTTTAGTTTAAGGACCAAATCGAAGGTCTGTACAATAGTTCAGGGACCAAAAAAGGGTTTTAACCTTTTTTATACAATTAAAATGCTTTTTTCCTTTAGAAGTTGGGTACGATGGATTTAATTTTAGATAAAGTATATATACTAAGATATCAATGTTTATGCATTTTCTCATGTAGTTCAAGTAGTCACCGTTCTCCATGTGAGAAGTAAGGTGAAACGCAATACATGATCATCAAGTCGACTCTTTAACCAGTACTCGAACAGATATTAATTTACTAATCATGTTTTAATCATGTTTTTACGGTAAAAAAAAAAGATATCAATGTTTATTATTTCGATTTACAAAAAGAATTAGATAAAAAAATTTAAAATTATATTATTTAAATAAAATATAAAAAGAAAAAATTAAATTAATCTCATTAATGTTTTAAAAATTATAATGTTTTAAATTTTTTAATTAAAATCGTAATTTTAAGGTTTTTTTCACTTAATTTTTTGTAAATATATTTGAAAAATGTTTTCCACTATACTAAATATGAAAATAGCTTAAAATGTAAACATTTTGACTTAAAAATGATAACTACAGTTTGAAAGGGGAAGTGTGGCATAAATAAACAGGCAAACAATGGATTTGATTTTGAAGGAATTATACCAAACTCTCGTAAACATAACATACCAAAAATATGGCGTTTTTGGATAAATTAATAAATTGCGAAATGTGATTGGATAAGAATTAATTAATAGAGGGTATGGTGCCACTGAAATCACAAAAATAGTCGAATTCGACTTCCTACCGTTGGAGGCCGCGTTTATATGGCGCCACTTACATTGCCTCCCTCACTGCACTCTTATCTTAGTAACTTCACTCCCAAGTATTCCACAACTCTAGGGTTTCGATCGAAAGCAGAAGTCGGTGAATTCAAGGGCGATTTTAGGGTTTCGATCGTCATCTGTTTCCAGATTACTATCTTCTTTCTGTTCCTAACACTTCGTCTGTTCTCTTGGTTTGTACAACATGATGATGGGGGAGAGACTTTCCTCCAGGAGAAAGGATTTTTCTTGTTTTGGGTCGGTGAGCGGGAGTCACCGTGATCTTTCTTCTTCTGGTTGTCGTAACTACCGGAAGGATTTTTTCCGGAACGAAACCAAACGGCATTTTGATTCGAGGGCCAGAGAGATTAGCGGCCGTAGAGGGTTTTGTTCTGAGTCGAAGAGGGCTCGATTCGATGGAGGAGTAATGCCTGAGAGAGGGTCCGATCATGAGTTCAAGAGGGCGAGGGTTTCCCAAGTGGATGAAAAGCTGCTTCCTTTGAAGAAGAGAATGGGATTTAGGTCCTCTAATTTTCCCTCTGTGGCGGCAGAATCGACAAAGAAAAAGCTCGATATAGAATTCGATTTGATGGGTTTGCCGAAGATAGAGCGACTGCCTTTGCTTGTGTTGCCGCAGGTATCAGAGGTTGAAGAGGGAGAGATCGTTGAGGACTCATCAAAGTTGCCGCCTTTAGTTGTTCTGGAAGAGAGAGAGATCGTTAAGGAATTATCAAAGTTGCCGCCTTCAGTTGTTCTGGAGGGGGGAGAGATTGTGAAATCTGAGGCATTAATTCAGAAAAACAAGCCAATATCTGAGAATAAAGTTATGGTTTCTAATGATCAGAAGCCTAAAGCTGCCATCCCTAGAAGAAGCAGAGACCCTCTTCGGAGCTGCAGAAGCCTGTCTGAATATGAATTAGTGAGCAAAATCAATGAAGGCGCATATGGTGTTGTTTATAAAGCCATTGAGAAGAAGACTGGGCAAGTTATGGCACTGAAGCGGATGAAGCATAGAAAAGGAGAGAGGGGATTGCCTCCAGCGGCTTTGAGGGAGATCGAAATCTTATTCTCCATAAGGCACCCTTCTGTTTTGGATGTGAAAGAAGTTGTAAAGGGTGAGGCTGATGATTTCTTTATGGCTATGGAATTCATGGACCAGGACCTCCATCAATTCATCAACCCAAGGAAGCAGGGTTTAAGCACTGCAGAGGTGAAGGGTTTGATGCTGCAGCTGTTGGAGGGCGTTTCATATCTTCATCGAAATAAGATTCTTCACAGGGACCTGAAGACCTCAAACTTGTTGCTGAACAAAGAAGGAAAGCTTAAAATTTGTGACTTTGGGTTGTCTTGTAGAGAAAGGAATGACGGCAAGCCACAGACATCTTGGGTGGTGACATTGTGGTATAGGGCACCTGAGCTTCTCCTGGGGACAGAACACTACTCCAAAGAGATTGACATGTGGTCGGTTGGATGTATAATGGCAGAGTTGCTGAAGAAGGAACCGCTTTTCAAAGGGAAATCAGAACTGGATCAATTGAATTCAATGGTGAGTGTGCTGGGGACCCCTACAGTGAAGAACTGGCCTGGCTTATCCAACTTGCCAGGGGTCAGCAACGTTAATTTTGCGAAGCAGCCCGAGAATAAGTTAAGGCAGAAGTTTCCAGTTCTTTCTAATTTGGGGGTGGATTTACTTCAGAAGCTTCTTACATATGACCCCAAGAGGAGGATCACAGCAAAATCTGCATTGAGCCATGGCTGGTTTAGGGAGTTCCCTCTCCCCAAACACTTGCATATTTGAGTACTATAGGTTATTGGTGTAGGTTGAAGAGCTTTGATGTAAACTTTTTAACCACTTTTGTGAATACTTTGTAATTCTTTGATTCATCATTCATGAATGAATTAAATGATGCCTATTCTTTTGTTTGAAATTTGAGCAATTAAAATGTTGATATACATTGAAGATTACTGGAGTAGTTCTCTTTTTGTTTAAGAAACTAGACTGTTTTAACTCAGTTTGTCAGCTTTTCTTTCCCCTTAAAGCTTATTAATGTCCACTTGCTACTTTCTCTCCACTACAGGGATAACGTATCTGGTGCTAGCTAGTTGACAGACAAAAGTAGTGACCAAAAGATACATTGAAATATCTAGCTTTGATATACATTATCTCTTCGCCTTAAGCAGAAGTGCACCATACTGGATGAAATATGTTCTCTAGTCATTTAAACTGGACGATCTGAGGCCTAAATCTTAGCTGTTTTAACCCCAGGAGATTAAGTTTCATTGAAAGCCTTTTTTCTCATAAACAATCAGCATCAGGCCACACGAATGATTCACAAAAGAAAGAGAATTTATAATTACTATTCAGAATGAGTGCAAATCTTAACAAAACCAAATCCAACTATCAAAGTTCCACAAATCCAATACAAACACCGTGCATTCAATTGATGACCTATATACCTAGGAATCAGAGCATGATCATGGATATGATTTTCAGAACATTTTTCTTTACACTTCTATCATATCAGTGAAAACTTTTTCTTTTTCGCCTATATA